TGGAGTGTAATTGAGGAAATAAGGTCATTCAGACTCTCAGATATGCTTTCTTCACATAGAACTCTTTCTGCTCTTCTTAAGAAAAAATAAAAAAAATACTCTCTCTTTCTTTCTCTCTCCCCCTCTGCCTCCCCAACCCCAGCTCACACACATACATCTCATCTAAGTATTTATGTCATTTGAGATTGATTTACCTTGTGTGGTTCTTAAATGGTTCAAAACCTACAAATTAATTTCAGCTCTCTTTGCCATTTTAGATGTATAAGAAAGGACAAAAGTTGGATGAGGTTGATTTGTTTGATTTTTTTTCAGTTTTTTTTGCTTCCAATGTAAAACAGTGCCTTTCAGAAACTTGCCTAAGTGGATGTTAAAAGAGATAAATGTTTATCAGTTTGGAACTAATTTGCTTCTTGGAACTCACATGCTATTTTAAAGCACCCTCTGGAGACACATATAATGTGTAACTCTTCTCACATCTCATCTATTATGTGAAGGAGGACAAATAACCCTCAGGTTCTCTAAACCTAAGAATTTATAGACAACCTACTTGATTGGAGGTTACAAAGAAGCATTAAATTGAAAAAACATGGTCAATATTAGAGAGGAAAATGAAGGTTTAGAACTATTGAATAAAAAGTTCAAAAGTGTTACGTTTTTATTATTTAAAAATGACATAATAAGGTATAAATTCTTAACAGAATACAATGTAACATTGTCCAAATGATTTTCTCACAAATGCCAAAACTACATTCTCATTTAAAAAGTATAGTTCTAAAAATCTTAAATGTTATTTTATTCAATCAATAGAGTAAATTTTTATTCTCACCATGAAAGATAATATTTAAAGAAAGGAGAGCAGAAATTTAGTTTATTATTTTAATATATAGTAAATCTTTTTATAAAAACACTTATGTGACCTTTGTTGTCCTTGTGAAAGAAGGCATCTAATCTACACTTTATATGTAGCAACTTAAAACTGACCCAGATCTAATGGAGAAAAACCAGGTGATAATCTAAACCCTAGAGATAGCCAGCATTTGTCCTTTGCTTTAATCAAACATTCCATAATACCCAACCATGAGTCATTATGAATCAAGACTCCAGTTACAGTCTCAGTTTAAGTGTTAACTTCCTCAGAGAAGAGTCCTTCTGCAACTCAAGCTGAAGCTACCTTCATTTGCAGACTTAATTGTGTAAGTACTTATACATTTAAATGCTTATTTCTTCTGGGAAACTTTAAAGACAAGTTCCAAGATGGTCATCTTTCTGTCACTGTGACAAAATACTTGAAATAAGCAACTTTAAAGGAGAAAATGATTATTTTGATTCCAGTTTCAGAGGCTTTAGTCCAAGGTCACTTTGCCAGGTTGCTTTGAACCTGGGATGACACAGTATGTCATGGTGGGAGCACATGGCAGAAGACTCTTTATGGTGGAATTAAAGCCAAGAGTGAGAGGGAAGAAAGGGCCTGGACCCCCATATCCCCTCCAAAGTCATTGTCCTAATGACCTAACTTCCTTCCACTATGCACCACGTGTAAGAGGTTCCATCTCTTCCAAATAGTACCACAGACCGAGGACCAAGACTTCGGGAGACATTTAAGATCACATACCCTCCAATTTCTCATTCTTTTATGTAGTCAGGAACACCTGCCCTGACCCACAGCGACTGGCAACATAAAATTGATGCTTTCCTTATAGTTCTGACTTTTCAAGAATGTCATATAAAATGAATTATAAAGTATGTAGTCTTTTGTGTCAGACATCTTTCACTTATGGAGATTCACAGCTCTTGTTGCACATATCATTGACTCGTTCCTTTTCATGTGACTAGAATCACCTTGCATAAATACACTTCAATTTGTTTTCACTAGTTGAGGTATATATCGGTTGTTTCAAGTTTTAGGAGATTATAAATGAAGATAGCATACAATTTGCGACTGGGCTTTTGTTTAGATATATGTCTTCATTTCTCTTGGATAAACAAATAGCTACAGGTAAGATTGCCATGTCATGTGGAAGTATATGTTTAATTTTATAAGAAATTGCCAAATCAGTTTCCAAAATGTACCATTTTAAATTCCCATGAGCAATGCATTGGAGCTCCAGTTGTTTCACATAAAATATGTGCATACATGTATTTTTAAAATAAGAATCTCTTTCTTTTGAGTCTCTTTGAAAATACATTATATGAAAAATTAATATATTGTAATCTCATATTCTTTTTTTTGAAATACATGTTTGCTAAGTAGGAATTGGATGGCAGGTTGAATTAATTCTATTTTTCCTATGAGTTAAAAAGAGCCTAAAACATGTGCATTAATGTATATATGTAATGACAGTAGTTTCCCCATCATTAAAAATTTTGAGTCAATAATCTGCTTTTCTTAAATATATAAGGGGATCAGTTCAGGCAAGTCCCTAAAGTACTATGAATATTTGAGCCTAAAAGTTTCAATGTAATGTACAAGGACATTCCATCTTTATTTGAAGCATGAAGCAGTCTATAAAAAGAACAACCTAGGAGAATTGGTTATTTCACATTTCCAAGCCCATGACAGTTCTGTAAGTAGAATTGGCCTCTGCAGATAAGGCAGGTTATTTGGAATAAACTGGACTTTCAATTGCCTTTTAAGGCATTCAGTAAAGTACTAATGGACCTTAGGCATAAAAATTGACTTTCCTAATTTCCAGAATAACAATATAGTCTTACATACAATTTTTAATTTTTGTGATTTAATATGCTTCCATTCATTCTAGAAACACACAAGAAATGAAAGTCCATTATAGAGACACCTGGGCTTTTTTGTGATTATTTTCTTAGGACTAGTTTCTTATGATAATTTACAAAGTATTTTTACAAGCATAAATTAAATATAGGGCAAAAGTAAAATTAAATCTGAACATTTGAAAATTGGTTCTTAAGATGTTACCAAAAGGCTTTTTATAATGGTTGGTTTCATTAAATATTAAAAAGAGACTTAGACTGCAGTTAGACATACAAATTGAATTTTTACTGTATCTTCTTGAAACTAATTGTCCATTAATTCTTAAGAGTGTTAACATTTAGGAGATTAACATATTGAAGATATTTTGATAGAAATTATGATTAAATTGTGTTAGAGCAAGACTCAGCTGTCTTCTGTATTGGACTGAATATTGATAGAAGTAATATCAGAATGTTTGTCATGTAGTATAAAGTAACTAATAAAAATAAGCTTGTGCAAACCACCTCCTCTCAGAAATGCTCCTTACCTGGTGTGACCTATTTTGAGTTACACAGTTTTGACTGCAATTTTCATAAATGGCCAGTTCCTTAATTTGTGACTATATAAAGACAGCAGTCAAGCCATATTCTAGAATGGAGCTATGTATGGATATATAGAACCAAAGTTAACTTACAGATATTTATATGTGCAACTCCTGCATTTCCCATTAACTTTGGGATTATGATACAATTTTCTGTCCCTTCTCATTAATAAACTAGTGCTAATCATGAGCAGTATTATTATAGTGACTATACCTTATGATTATTATTTATGAGTTTTTCCTTTTTCTTTTAATTTCTTCTGGGTACATACTGATCATTTATTAGTAGTAATTAATTTATCTTTGCTTATGCTGTTTTCCCTTTCATGCAATTACAGTCTTTTCTTCTATAAAATATTTTTATAGTCTGGTCTGCCAAATTCTAATGGTTGATTTTTGTTTATTGGGAATAATTTTATGATTTGTTACTGAGCATTCTTTGTATACGTTCTGTTTTCTCTCCCTATTTTAATAATGATGCTGGTAAAAAGAATAAATTTTATATTTAGAATGATTATTGTAGAGCAGTTGGTCATTTTCCTGCATACATAACCCCATCAGATGTTCATTCGGCAATATCAAGTAGACAATACTTGCCTATTAGTCAGATGCTTAAATTTTTCTCAAGATAATTCATTTACTGGAGGGACAAATCATTAAAAAAATCTGGTTGTCCACATGAAAGATTAGGAAGTTGAGGGAAGGTACCAATAGTTGGAGGTCAGCATTTGACCTCTATGAACTGTCTCTTGATAAGGGCATTAGTAAATAATTTCTGAGATAACTGCTACTTGAGGTTAGATTTTGAAAAAAATGAGATAAAATTTTACTTCCCACATGTAGCATTTGTGAAGAAAAAAATGAAATGAGAAGCATATGTTCTTATAATAATGGAGAATGTGTTTTTTAATTTGAGTTTGTTAGAAGTTCTTTATTATTAAATTATGGCAAGATGCCTAGCAAGCATACAACACATTTGCATAAGTATTAAAATAATTCATCATGATTGATTCTATTATAGTAAATCTTGGCCCCAGCCACAATCAGTTTGTTAGTGTTTCATATTTTACCAGGGTTTTGGTGGAATTGTAGCTCTAGCAACAGAACGAATGTCACCTGAGATCATCGTGATTAATGTGGTTCCAAAGGAGATCTAAAAATTAGCAAATTTCAGAAAGTGTTATTGAATAAGATTTGTATAAGAACATTTCTAAACCTCTTGAAAACGTACAGACCAGCAAGGAACCCTGGGAGAAAACTGCATTTCTAGAAGAATGATCAGGTTTAACCTGGGAAGTAGATAAACTGCTGACAGCGAGATAGATCAAAGCGAAAGGGAAAGGAGGAGGAGACAATCGTCTTCTTATACGTAAAGTCTCAGAAGAAAATAAGGAAAATTTAGAACTAAGGTTGAAAGTCGTAGTGAAGTACTTATAATCTGAAATACTGAAATTTCAGAACAAGGGAACTCCTCAGAAATAGAATGAGCCAGGTGGTTCAATTGGCTCAATGATATCTCCTCCAAGAATCCAAGGAGAGACAACACAACTACTTGGGAGACTACCGCAAAGTGCTTTTTTCTTTAACGTTTGAAAGAGGTAGATTTTTGGTAAATTCTGAATTCCTTTTCAGCCACAAGTTACAGTAGCTTAATATTTTCATGGTGTTAACAACCTTCTTACATTTTCTCAGATTTTGGTGGAAGCGACAGTGGGGGATGACTTCACTGGAGATATTGCAATTGATGATTTATCATTCCTGGACTGTACCCTCTACCCAGGTAAGAGAAAACACTTCAATATGGGAGTATTTCCAATCCTGTTTACTTAGAGACACTGCCAAGGAAATCAATATTTGTTTTTAAATACCCTAAAATGTCCTCACTTTTAATGTTTTTCAAATTTAGTGACCCTTATAATTTGTTGTAAATCATTGCTAGCAGGGAGATTTATAATCTTTGCAAACATGGTAAAGATCTTCTCCCACACAAAATACTAGGAAGTCACATCTGCAGTTACAATGTCATTTCATGATCTGTGCAGGTTGAAAGAAGGAAACTGGTTGTCTTATAATGACACTTTGTTAATCGGTGTTCCTGATCTCTGCCTACTGAGTAGCTAGGATTACAGATTTGAGCCACCAGCACCTGGCTCCTCACTAATTTTTGCCCCATTAACTTAGTTTGTTTTCACTTTGTCCTTAAACATTATCATTTTTTTCTTCTAGATCTACTCCTTAATTTTATAAATTCTAGCTGTTTCTAATTATATTTTCAAATTGCTCTCAATTATGAATTATACCTCCTTTGTTTCAATATCTTAATAATATTCTATTTTTCCAGCTTATTGAACATAATTTATAAATAAAATGGTATATTAAGTTTATAATGTATTTTTATATATGTATACATTGTGGAACAGTCACTATAATCAACTAATTAACATAGCTTGTCATAGCTATGTTAACATAGCTATGTGAGTGGTAAGAATATTCAAGACCTACATTCTTAGCAAATTTCAAGTGTACAATATGTAACCATTGTTACAGTTGCCACTTACCCATCTTATAAATGAAAGTTTGTACTCTTTGACCAACATCTCTCTATTTCCTGTGCCCTGTTCCCCTGCCTTCTATTCTTTCTAATATGAACTCAACTTTTTCAGAGTCCACGTATAAGAGAAATCTTACATTATTTGTCTTTCTGTGTCTTGTTTATTTCACTTTACACAGTGGCGTTTTGCTAATGCCCTAGTGGCAGATTTCCTGATTTTAAGGCCTAATATTCCATTGCATGTATGTGTATGTGTATATTTCTCTGTGTGTGCGTGTGTTTGTATGTGCTTCTCTTTACCCATTCACCCATCCGTTTACACTTAGGCTATTTCATACCCTGTCCACCATGACTAATGCCTGCAATGAACATGGGAATGCAGATGCCTCTTTGAGGTGGTGGTTTTGTTTTCTCTGGATGTATTCCTAGAAGTCAAATTGTTGATCATATTGAAGTTCTGTTTTTAATTTATTGAGAAACTTCAGTAGTGTTTTCCATGTTTATTCTGTTCCATTGGTCTATTTATTTGTTTTTATGGGCATACCATACTGTTTAGCTTTGTAATACAATTTGAAATCAGGTATTGTGATGCCAACCACAAATTAATACTAATTTCCATTTCTATTGATAATGGTAAGAGTTCCCTTGTCTTCATAGCCTCACAAACATTTGTTTTATTTTTCTCTTTTGGTAGTATCTGTCGTAACAGTTGTGACATGATATCTCATCATGGTTTTGATTTGTACTTCCCTTTATCATTAGTAATGTTGAATACTTTTTCACATATCTGCTGGCTATTTGTATGTCTCCTTTGGAAAAATGCTTATTTGAATCCTTTACACAAATTTTAATTGAGTTCTTTATTTTATTTTATTATTTTATTTTATTTACTGTTTGACTATACTGGGAATTGAGCTCAGGGTCTCATGCTTCTCTTACACTCGAGCCATGCCCTCATTCCTTTGGCTTTTAGATTTTTTTCATGTAGGGTCTCAGCACTTTTTGTCCAGGCTGTACTCAGACCATGATCCTCTTATGTCTACTTCCCCAAGTAGCAGGAATTATAGCATGTACCACCACAGCAAGAGAGATTTGTGTGTGTGTGTGTGTGTATGTGTGTGTGTTACTGGGATTTAAACTTAGGGCCTTGCTTGACAAACACTCTACCACTTGAACCATGCCCCCAGCCTTTTATGTTTTTTAGTTATTTTTTAGGTAGTTTTTATCTGGGGCTGGCCTTGGATGATGATCCATCTCTACCAGATATTCACTAGCTTACCTAACTTTGTTTCTAAGATTAGGGTCTCATTAACTTTTTTGCCTGTGCTGGCCTTAAACTGCCATCCTCTTGATTTCTGCCTCCCATGAAGCTGTAATTGCAGTCATGAACCTCTATGCCTAGACCCTGCTTCAATGAATAAAATTCATTGGTCAGTTTTAATTTTTGCTGTTGATTTACATGAGCTCCTTATATATCTTGAAAATGAATCAGTCTGGTATGTATGGTTTAAAACTATTTCTCTTATTTCAGAGGCTGCCTTTTCATTCTGTTGATTATTTCACTTGTGCTACAAAAATCTTTTAATTTGGCATAATCACACTAGTCTATTTTGACTTTTCTTGCCTGTGCTTTTGGTGTTATATATGAAAAATCAGTGACAAAACCAATATCATGGAACTTCCCTTGTGTATAGGATTTTCATGGCTTCATGTCTTATATTAAAATATTTTAATCCATTTTGAGTTGATTTTCACACATGCTATAAGGATAGAATTTCCTTCTTTTACATATGAATACCTAACACCATTATTAAGGAGATTATCCTTTCTCCATTGTGTATTTTTGCCATGTTTGTTAATGAGTGTATGTGCATTTATTTCTCAGTTCTCAATTCTGTTTCATCGATCTATTCATTGTCTGTTTTTATGCCAATATCTGTTTACATGACTAGCTTTGTTGAAATCAGAAGTGTGATGCCACCAACTTTATTCTTCTTGCTCAAGATTGCTTTAGATATTTGAAGTCGTTTCTATTTCTAAATGAATTTTGGGATGTTTCTCTTTATTTCTATGAAAAATGGCATTGGGATTTTGAGGAGGATTGCATTGAGTCTGTACATTGCTTTGGGTATCCTGAGAATTTTGACAATATTAATTTTTCTGATGCATGAAAAAGGGATACGTCTTTATTTTCTTTCATTAATATTTTATAGTTTTTAAAGTACAATTTTTTTTATCTCTGGTTAAAATGATTCTTATTTTATTCTTTCTTCTTGTTATAACAAGGTGAGCATTCATTTTTTAACTTTAATTTTTCCAGTAGTTTATGTTTTAGTGTTTTGAAACACAAGTGATTTTTACCTGTTGATTTTTTTATCCTGCAATTTACCTGATCTCATTTCTTAGTACTACATGTTTTTCTCCTCTGGAGGCTTAAGGGTTTTCTGTATAGAAGATCATGTCATCTGCAAATGAAGACAATTTATTTTTCAAACTTGGATGCTTTTTGTTTTTCTTTTAATTTTTTATTATTGTTTTATATTTACTCATCTCATACATTGTTCAGACCACCTCCTTCCCACCCCCGACCCCTGTCTCTTTTTTTTGAATAAGGATTTCCAGTACTATGTTGAGTAGAATTGGAGAGAGTAAGCATCATTGTCTTGTTCCTGTGCTTAAAGGAAAAACTTTGGGTTTTGACCATCGAGTATGAAGTTACCTTTGGCTTTATTATATAAGGTATTTCTTGTTTTGAGATATATTCCTTCTATTCATAATTTGTTTAGAAGGTTTTTGTTTAGTCATGAAATGTTGTGTTTCATCCAATGCTTTTTCTCCACTTATTGAAATCAAAAGATTTTATTGCTCCTTCTGTTAATATGATGTGTCATACCTTTTGATTTGTACATATTAACCTATTCTTGCTTTTCCAAGGTAAATCCCACTTGATCATGGTGTGTGATCCTTTTATTGTGTTGTTAAATTCAGTTTGCTAGATGAGTAGATGTGCTGCATTTTGAGATTGTTGACTCTCTATCATTCTCTTTTCCTTTCCCTCCTTCCCTGAGTTCTGTAATGTAGTTCTACTGTTATAAACGTGTTCTACATATAGATGTATATATAATCAGGTTTGTTTTTGCATATACATTTATCTTTTGGATATATCTACCACATATGAGAGGAAACATGCAGCCTTTGTTTTTCTGAACCTGATTTACTTCACTTAACATGATGCCCTCAAATTCCTCGCATTTACCTTCAAAACACATAGTTTCATTCTTCCTTATGGCTGCATAAAACTCCATTATGTATGTCTGTCTCTCTGTCTATCTATCATCTATCTACTATCTACCTGTCTATCTATCTGTCTGTCTGTCTATCTATCTATCTACCTACCTACCTACCTATCTATCATAGTCTCTTAATCCATTCATCAGTTATAGGGCATCTGGGTTGTTTCCACAGCTTGGCTATTGTGAACAGTGCTGTGGTAATCATTGGTGTGCAAGTGTTTCTATCATATCCTGACTTACATCCCTTTGGGTATATGTCCAGGAGTGGTATCACTGGGTCATGTGGCAGTTCTATTTGTAGTCTTTGAAGGACTCTCCATATTGCTTTCCATAGTTGTTATACTAATTTGCAATCCCAACAGCAGTGCATAAGGGTTCCTATTTCACCTCATCCTCATCAACATTTGTTGGTTTTGTTCTTGAAGATAGCCATTCTAACTGGGATGAGGTGAAATCTTAGAATAATTTTGATTTGCATTTCTTTATGGTCAGAAAAGTTGAACACTTCTTCATGTACCTATTGGCCATTTGTATCTCTTCCTTTGAAAATTCCCTATTCAATTCATGTGCCTATTTATTCATTGGGTTGTTGATTCTTTGGGTGTAGAGTTTTTTGGGCTCCTTGCAGATTCTGTATATTAGTCTCTTATCAGATGAATAGTTGGCAAAGATTTTTCCATTCTGTGGACAATCTCTTCAAGCTTCTCCCATGACTATTGCTTGTTTGGTGTGCAGAAGCCTTTGTTTGAATGCCAGTCCCATTTGTTCATCCTTTCTCTTAATTGCTGAGCCATTGGAGCAATGAATTTATTTAGGAAATCGTTGCCTCTGCCTATATGTTCCAGTGGATTTCCTACTGCTTCCTATAGCTGTTTCAAAGTTTTAGGCCTTATATTAAGGCCTGTGATCCACTTTGAGTTGATATTTGGTTACAAT